TTTCACGGCCCTACTGCACTCTGATTGACGGAACCACAACGCGAGGCCCCCCCCCCACAAGGCCCCGCCCCCTCACCCCTCAAAGGAAAAGCGTCTCGCGGTTGACTGAGATCTGTGGAAGCGCGACGGTAATCGAAGGCCGCCGGCGCGCGCAGAATAGAGCACGTCCATTGGGCAGCTCTAAGGCCAACCCACTTCCGCGTCAGCGTTCACCGCCCCCTTCCCGCGCAGATTTCCAAACCGCGACCAGAGAGTGTGGCGCCAGCTGCCGGCAGCAGATAGAGGGGCTGTACCATAGACGTCACTAAATGCGTCCGATACAGCCAGAGCGTCCCTCTTCGGTCCTCCTAGACATGGTGTCCGCTGACTCATGAGAAATGAAAATGGGTTGCGGGTTGCAGTCGTGGCTGTAGGCTGCAGTTTGGAGAATAGCCCGTAGGCGTGGCGCTGGAGGACTTCTCACTGCAATGGAATTTCATTTCCTCTTGATTTGGCTTATTTAGTAGGAGTTATGTCATTTCTTCTTGAGAATACATCTTTGACGGACATTTTGAGGTCATTTTCCTAAATGCAAGATCCTAAAGCAAAGTTCGTAGGCGAAGAGATAAAACTGTTTGCTAACCATCTTAAAGGTTGTCTTCATGTTTCAAGAGGTGGGGGGAAGAGGATAAAATAACTTATTTCATTATCTCATAATAAGACAGGAAGAGAATAGGAACAATTTGACATGTGTATAATTTTGGCAGTCTTGAACCATTCGTTCTTTTATTCTGTCTGCAATAGGCAGAAGTAGACTTTACGTAGGGATTTGAAGCTCTGGTAAGTTCAGTGACTTGCCTAGATTCCTTCAGCTAATATAAGGTAGAGACACATTTAAAGAAGTCCTCAATTCTAAATTCTGAGTCCTTTCCACGCCCACAAAGTAAATGCTTTCATTGTGATCACACCCTAAAACACAAAATATTCTATTTTAATTGAGCAGAGGGTTCTTACATAACTTGCCGTTCCCTTATTTAGAGATGACTTAGGAATGGGTGTTGGTCTGTGTTGACCAGACCGAAAGGGAATTAACAATGACCTTGATAACATCTCTTTTATGGTGCATACCACACTCTATTATTTATACACCTCACAGGAACTGCAAGATCCTGGAGGCAAGGAGTTCTGGGTTAGTGGATACTTAGTATCTAGTGAATGAGAGAATCGCTGGTAAGTCTTTGAGCTGTCATTTTCCCCGTCCAATATTTCCCCCATTAATAACCTCTCTCCCTCCCTCTTTAATCCAGGGGTTCTTGAAGGGTCAATGGCAGCTGTTCGGTCAGTGAAATGGGGAACTGGAAAGCCACTCTTCAAAGTGTCTACAAGAGGCAGGCTGAAAAGAGAATGGAATTGTGTTAGACATTTCACCCTCTATTTCTTACTGACCAAAATTAAAAAGAGAGAGAGAGGGAAATGCTTTCATTGTGATCACACCCTAAAACACAAAATATTCTATTTTAATTGAGCAGAGGGTTCTTACATAACTTGCCGTTCCCTTATTTAGAGATGACTTAGGAATGGGTGTTGGTCTGTGTTGACCAGACCGAAAGGGAATTAACAATGACCTTGATAACATCTCTTTTATGGTGCATACCACACTCTATTATTTATACACCTCACAGGAACTGCAAGATCCTGGAGGCAAGGAGTTCTGGGTTAGTGGATACTTAGTATCTAGTGAATGAGAGAATCGCTGGTAAGTCTTTGAGCTGTCATTTTCCCCGTCCAATATTTCCCCCATTAATAACCTCTCTCCCTCCCTCTTTAATCCAGGGGTTCTTGAAGGGTCAATGGCAGCTGTTCGGTCAGTGAAATGGGGAACTGGAAAGCCACTCTTCAAAGTGTCTACAAGAGGCAGGCTGAAAAGAGAATGGAATTGTGTTAGACATTTCACCCTCTATTTCTTACTGACCAAAATTAAGAAGAGAGAGAGAGGGAGAGAGAGAGAGAGAGAAGGTATCTTGAAATTTGCCATAAGGCCCAGAACTCCTACATAGGGACTTCTGGCAACGTGAACCCGTAATCAACATCTCTAAACTGTTCAGCTTATGCATGAACATACCCTCCAGACAACATCTCTATCACGAAAAACCCATGCGGTAATTTTGTTTCTCTTTAGAAACATTGCCACTCGAAAATTCCCAAGGAACTAGCAGGAGGGCAACCCTCCCTTTTTTCGGAGGCATCTGGGGAAGCATCCGCTTAAATTCGTGCTGTAGATCGCCAAAGAAGCAAACGTTAAGTAGCAAAGGGAGTGCCGCACTTTGCCCCCGTTTTCACTGAGCTAAGCACTCGGGCCTTCCAAAAGCTACCGCAGCGGGGAGCTTTCAGGGCGTGCCTACCCCACCTCCCAACTCCTGGCACCCCAGACTTCCCAATTCCTGAACCCCCGAAAATTACTCCTCTTTGTTCAAGACACTCAGGCACAGAGGAAAACTCTATCTCGCAAGGTCGTTTTCCATGAAAAAAACAACAGCATCTAACAAAAAGAACAAAAAACGCCCCCTGGTACCCACCCATTCATCCTTCATTTTGCAGCGTGGACAACAATAGAGGACTACAGCTCCCAGAGAAGACCGCGCCTGTGCCCGGGCGCACGGACCAATGGGCGTCCTGCCCATGACCAGCATCCACCAATCAGGGCCCGGCGAGAGGCGGCTTTGTCTCCGGCCGCCGCGCGGGCCGCGTCCTCCCGCCTCCCCGCCGGCGCACGCGCGCCCCGCCCTGCCCGCCTTCTCTCCCCGCCCTCCCCTCTCCATTCTGCCTCTCAGAACCTTGCTGCCGCCGCGTTCGGACCTCGCTGCTCCAGCCTCCGGGGCGCGTTCCATCCTGTCGGCCTGAACCCAGCAGAGGGAAGAAATCACGTATCTTCTTGCCCCGTACATACCTTGAGGCGAGCAAAAACATTACATTTTAACCATGAGGGAAATCGTGCACATCCAGGCCGGTCAGTGTGGCAACCAGATCGGTGCCAAGGTAAGAATTTAAGCCTCCTTTAGCTGCATTTCTTTTTAGAAATATCCAGATAGTTCGATGAATGGTTGTGGGGTATTTGCACTCTCCCATCTCAATTCAGCTTTGCCCCCCCCCCAAAGTTCCTTTTATGTAAATATGATATACTTTGTAGCTAGCATTTGCTTTTGAAAAACAGGGAATTTTTCTTGGTAGGCACGTTTGGGGGAAGCTTTTTAAAAAGGTCCTTTAGTTTGCGGGTGCAGGAAGACGGAGGATCTGTAAGATTGCACTAAAAGGGGATCTTCTAACGGTCCGAGGATAGGGAAGGGAGAGGGATGCGGAAACTGCTCGAGACAAAGCCAGGCGAGGTTTTGCCCCCGGCACCCCCCCCCGGGGGGCTCGCAGGACGAAACCGGGGAGGGGGTGGGGGCAGGGGCGAGTCTGGCGGACAGCTGCAGGCAGCTCCAGTGCAGAGGTGCGGCCCCAGCGTGCCCGGGTGGGCTGCACTGCGCGTTACCTTTTACAAAAGGGAAGGGGCCCCGGCGCGCCCGCAGTCTCCGAGGGGCGGCTCCGTAGTTTTCTGCGGACTGAAGGATCTCTTCGGGATTAACTTCTCTTACCGTACCCAGGGGGAGACCCTTTCAGGCGCGCACACACCCGGAGAAAGAGGGGGTGTGTGCTTATCGTTAATGGGCTCCTCGGGACCCAGGGTGGGAGAAAGCACCCTTAGGGCGGGAGGGGGATTAGCGGGGGAGTCGGTGCCGGGCCACGGGGATTTTTTCCCTTTGCGCGCGGTTAGTGGCGGGGGAGGGGAGGAAGTGCGGCTACGTTGTAGCCCCAGGGCGGGTC